ACCCTTTGAAAAAAGTCACAACTTATCGGAAAAGTCACAACTCATCGAAAAAAGGCACAACTTAAGTTAGGGATATTATAGTATTTTAACATTCAAGTTAGGAGTTCATGCTTTTAAGGTAATATTATATTATATTATATTATATATATTATATTATATTATATATTATATAAACTCCCTTAGAAAATAAATATATATTATATATATTATATAGTAGAAAAAAAGTAGAATATAAGTAGAATATTATATAGGGAGTTTATGATGGGACATTCAAATGTCCCATCATAAACTCACTCTTATATATAAGTAGAATTTATAACCATCACCAATTGCTATATTAAAATTTTAAAATATTTTATTAATATAACATTAAATCAATTTAATCTTTATTTAAATTTTGTATTTATTATTTTTTAAATAAAAATAAATTCTACACTTCAAATATTAGAAAACAAACAATCTCAATCATTATAAGTTAAATCTTAATATTCAAATATATTTTCAATTTAGACCTTTGTATTTTAATTTATATCTTAATATTTTCAGACATTTATTCAAATTCAGACATTTTAATCTTGAAAACAAGCCGGGGTAAGTTTTTTGTTTTATTATTAGTCAAATAAACCTCAAAGACTAAAACCCTACTCCATTGTTACTCCCAGTTCAATTTTCCAGTTGCTCAGTGCTCTAGAATTTACAAATAGTTCCATTTAGGGCTTGGATTAACACCTACAACAGCTAAGCTCAGTTCAAGCCCTAGCGATTTTTTTGAGCGAATATGTCAGGGGACAATGAGATTGTAATGCGTGATGTTACTAATGCTGGACTTGTAGTTAGTGACCGCATTGGCCGTGATGTAGCTTCTCAAATCGATCTGGAAGATGCATTGGAAGCTTCTAGATATGCCAGTCATCCTTATACTGCTCAACCCCGTGAGGTAACCACCAATTTCATCGAATTTTGGGATTTTAGGTTTCATTGCTTGTTAAATGTGTTTTTGCTTATGGAGTTTTGAAGATTTTAGATTTTGCGTGGAAAGATAAATTGGGTTTTGGTTGGAGAGGTGGGGAAGCATTTTTGCGAAAGAGCTTTTTTCGAATTTTTGGCGGACTTAGTTAATTAGCAGGCCTTGTGGTTGTTGATGTTGTTATTGTAGTTTTTCAATTTTTAGAAGAAATTGAATTATTACAAAGCTTGGACAAAAGGGTTAATTTTATTTCAAAGCTTGGACAAAAAAGTTCTGGTCTTTTCAAAAGACAACCAAATGAGACAAAGTTCTGAAGATTGGAAAAAGATTTTGCAACCATTTTTTTCCATCCAAATGCCATAGATATAAAAAAAACACTTTTAATGGCTATCCTTGAATTCTAAAGATATTGTTTGTCAAATTATAGAGTTCTAAAGATTGGAAAAAAGTTTTGTTGTTTGTTTGTCAACCCGACTTGATTTCCTGAAGACGTGTGAGTATCCCCAACTGTGTGCGTCTCGTTATTCCCGATAGAGTCCCTCAGAATTGGAAGTTGAGACTTCCTAAGATCTTCAGTCTTCGATTGTAAAGAGTTTTCTGGCCAAGGGACTGTCACTGCATCGTGTCGTCGTGTTTCTCCCGTGAAAAGACCAGGTCTTTTTTTCCGAAATAACCCCATTGCTACCCCAAGTGGAACACTAAATTTGGATTGTTTATTTACTTACTCGATGCCAGTCTGAGTGAAGTTTATTTTGAAACTGGTAATTTCAGTCGGAGTGAAGTTTATTTTTGAAACTGGTAATTTCAGTCAAAGTGAAGTTCATTTTTGAAACTGGTAATTTCAGTCGAAGTGAAGTGTATTGTGACAAATTGCAGTAATTAGGCATGTGTATCTTTATGTCATTTATATTACTAATAGAACAACAACAACCATAACAACTATGCCCAAGTCCCAAATAAGTTTGGATCTGTTATATGAATCACTAGTAGCTAAGTCTACATTGATACAACGGATTTGTAAATTTTCTGAGGTAACTTTCTTCCATGTGATTTTAAATATTTCCTATCCTCTTTTTAACACATTCACTTACCATAGTTTCACTCCTACGATTGGTGCAATGGTAGGTCGATGGAAGACATGTCCAAACCATCTGAAGCAATTTTCTGGCATTTTATTCTCAATGTGTGCTATTGCACATTCTGACTAATGTGGTCATTTTACTCTTATCCAATTTTGTATGACTGCTATCCATCTTTACATTCACATCTCGACAACACTCATCTTGCAGATATGTTGGATTTTACAGCCCAACATTTACTACCATATACCGTTGCCGGTCTTACAGCTGTCCTATAGAAATTACCTTTCACTATAGTCTTCTTTCACATAACAACTTAGCAACAGTTTTCCATTTGCACCATCTGATTTTAATCCTATGAGTACAATGTAGCATCTTAATCTATCATTCCATGCTCTTGAAACAAGAAGCCAACATATCTATATTGTTTGCATTTTGGCACTGCAATCCCGTCTAGTCTCACATCAACTTCTCTCTTTCTCATGTTGACCAAACCTTCAAGGCATGTATTCAGTCTCAGTTCTATTTATCCTAAAACCCATACTCTCTAAACTGTTTCAACACAATATCATAAGCAACTAGCATACCCCATAACACCTCATCTTATATTGTGTTGGTTAGGTCGTCCATAGTTAGGGTAAACAAGTAGGGGCTAAATGTCGATCTCTGGTGTAAACCCACTATTAGGAGGATTTTTTGTATCACCTACTACTCGCCTATTACTGTTTTCATGCTAGTGACTGCTCCTTTAAACATATCCTTTATGTCCTTTATATACTCCCTTTGTTCCAATTTATGTGACTCACTTTCCTTTTTAATTTTTTTTTTTGTTGAACTTGGTAACTTTGTATTATATCACAAAACAGTACATGGGTCGTACTGTAACCTTATATACAAGAGTACTCCTGATTTCACTTCTCTACGTCTAAATTGAGTCTAACACATCAATAATAGAGACAGTGTCATTAGAGTATAACTGATTACACCAAAAGACTAAAAGTAAAATGCAGTTTAGTTTAACTTTCTGCACATTGTTCTCTATGCTCTCAAAACATCTTGAATTCCTTTCTTTCCAAACAGCCCACCAGATAGCCCCCGGGATAATTCTCCATCTACCTCTATCCTTGGCATGTACACCTGCTTCCTCCCAGCATAGTAATGCCTCAGCCACCTTCCTGGGCATTGTCCAGGAGATGCCTTTGTGGCTTAGGAATATTCTCCACAGATGATGGGTGTACTTGCAATGTAAAAATAACACACCCAAACATTTTTCATCGCATTCTATCCCCTGTATATAGTTCCACTATCTTTAAGTTCCAGGAATGCTAACTTTTGCCACTTCGCGCAGGTTATAACATACGCGCTCTCAACATAGGTGATACTCGAACCCTTAATACTGTAAACCGTTTCACACGTTCCACTAAATATTTTTTTTGAAACTGGTAACTTAACGTTCCACTAAATTTAACAAAACTACTTGCAGCACACTGTTATTGGGCTTATGAAATTGCTTAAATGTACTTTATGATTCTTTTTAATTCTACTAAGACACAAAAACGCCCAAAGTTAAAATTGTTACTCACTATTCCCTCTGTACCTCTAACCATCTAGATTCAGCATACATAGCAACTGAAACTGAACTATCAAAGCAGAGTGTTCCGATTAACAAGATACCAAAACACTCCGTTGTTTGGGTGATGAGAGTAATAGTAATTTGAAAGGGTTCAGTAATTTCATACAAGAATTCAAGGCATGAGAGCATTTTACAAATGATAATCTTAGTTGACGACGAGGTAATATCATTGACACATTCACTTACGTTAATCAACCTATTCTAGGCTTATGTGACATGTGAGTCTCAACCTATAAAGGTATCAGGCAGCCTCCAGTATGTGCTTATAGAATATATATTTAGAGTATATTTGTTGATACCTCACTTTAATATGCTCTTTCCAAACTAGGGACTTTTGGGATTTCAACTCTTTCCGTGAGTAGTGTGCTGATCCATACAATGTTTCAAAAAGCACTAGACTTGCGCACCAGGTACACTCCATGTTTTATATGTTCAACATTATTTATTTAACCTCACTGCCACAACTAATGTTAAAACTATACTTAAACAAGGTAGGCAAGCTACCTTTTGGGGGGAAATTATATAGCACCAGTCGTATCGATTTTCAATCCACAAAATTACAAAACCAAAGCCCTTCACATATTTATGTTGTACAGTAACTACTCTCATCAGAAATGGAGGGCGTGAAGTCATAAAGGCTGAAAAGAAAGATATTACAATAACACCAAGTAAGGTAATGAAAAAAGCTACAGAAGCGTTGTTAGATATTACAATGGATGGATTGTTGGCTGATACACAAGTACCCTTCTAACCAACTCTAAAACTTTCCACAACAGCCCATTACTATTTACAGAATGTTACATGACACTAATGAAACTTTCATTGGTTGTATTCACTATTCACAGGTTCGGCTGAATGAGAAACAAGATAACAATCACCATGCAACGTCGAAAGGCCACAACACTATAGTGCAGAATTACGGGTTCCAAATGCTGATTCAAGCACAATTACTTACTTAGAATTAATCAGAAAATTCGGCAACAAATTATTTGCCGAACTAATAAGGAACTTTGTAAAAGATGTTCAACATGACTGTCCAGCAACAAAATACAAAAAACAAGGCAGCCAGTCAATAGGGCGTAATGGAGTACTATTTGCAAACTTAAATTCGGTGAGCCGGAAACATGTGTTCCAACACTTCATTTAGATTATAACGAAACCATCCTTAAAATATAGCATTATTGCATATACAATGGATCTAAGAAATAAAGTATGCACAAAATTGCACGGATAACATATGCCAAATAGAGTATGGAGATTATTCCATGGTTTTATTGGGGCAAATATAGAACCAATATTGTTTCAACGATATATGAATTTCATCACTAGGCAAATACATGCAACGCATGTGCGGTGAATCTAGTAACTAAAGAATTGCAAGGATTACCAGGATATGTACTTCTTGGATTTGGATAAGGGTGCAAGGGCTCCAATGACTTCACATTTCCCCACAACTTACGAAACGCAGGACCCTAAAAAGATGTAGCATTATATTGTCAAAACATATATATACTCTTTAACAACAAAATAATAGATATCCAGATTATTAGTACTAGAAACAATAGATAACAAATTTTCCATACATTTTACATTTTAGAATATACATTTTGAACTCTTTGAAGTTCTGATCAGTACCGATAAATGGTGCTATTTATAGATAATTTGTAATATTCTCTACATGGGTCATTCAATAAAATCATCAGCTTTTATCAAAGCATAAGCAATTAAGCATAGGCAAACAAATAAATTCAATAGATGTAGCATTTTATTGAATCTTAATCAGAGTAGAAAGAGTGGATTACCTTCCTAGTGGCTAAAGTTGGAGTTAAATCCTCAGTAAAAACTGTAATTGCAGTGTATTGTACAAGATCAACAGTGGACTTTGCCAGAAACAAGTGAACAATCAATGAAGCAAATGATAACACCAGGCCTCCTAATGCTGCCCATTTTATTTTGGATTTCATCTCAATAATATTGGGATAGAAACATGGATATGGGCATCAAGTATATCACAAATCATATCAAACTTTGAGGTAAATCTCACGGATACATATGAATAAGTAGAACCTGGATCAAATATCACATTAGCCATCCGGTCACAGACAAGAATAGTACATGTGATCACCGCGTCAGATGTCTCTGCCTCATTCTTGCCCGGAAAGGCATAGAACTGAGCCCTATCATCTTGATGAGCCACTTCTTGCATGTTACCTCTACCTGCATTACCATTTCATCTACCTACACGGCTTCGCTGATTACCTTCTCGCCCACCTTATGGGTGTCCTCTACCATTATTACCATTTCCCGCGGGTACCACTGCTCTAGACTGCTGCTGCGCGGAATCTAACACACGTGGG